CACCTCACACCATACACAAAAATTAACTCCAAATGGATTAAAGATATAAATAAAAGTAAAACCCGAAACTGTAAAACTACTAGAAAAAACATAGGGAAAAAGATCTATGACATTGATCTTGGCAATGATTTTTTTAGATATGACCTCAAAAGTACAGGCAAAAAAAGCAAAAAATAGACAAAAGGGATTATATCAAATTAAAAAGCTTCTACACAGCAAAGGAAACAATCAAGAAAGCAAAGAGATAATCTATGTACTGAGAGAATATATTTCAAACCATACATCTCATAAGGGTTTAATATCCAAAATATATAAACAACGCCTACAACTCAATAGTAACAAAAAAAAACCCTAATAACCTGATTATAAAATGGGATGAGGAGTTGAATAGACATTTCTCTGAATAAGACATACAAATAACATGTTTATTTTAAAATTGCTCAAAGTCACTAATCATCAGGGATATGCAAATTAAAACCACACTGATATGTTAGAACTATTAGAATGGCTATTATCAAAAAGATGAAAGACAACAAGTGTTAGTGAGGATGTGGAGAAATTGGAACCCTTGTACACTGTTGGTGGGGGTATAAATTAGTACAGCCATTATGGAAACAGTATGGAAGTTCCTCAAAAAATTAAAAAGAAAACTATCATACAATTCAGCAATCCCACTTCTGGGTATGTATCCAAAAGAATTGAAATCAGGATCTTACAGAGATATCTGCAGTCCTGTGTTCACTGCAGCACTATTCACAATAGCCAAGATGTGGAAACAACCTAAATGTTTACTGACAAATGAATGGATAAAGAAAATGTGGCACATACGGACAATGGAATACCATTCGGCCAGTAAAAAGAAGGAAATTGTGCAATACACAACATGGATAAACCCCAAGGATATTATAATGCACTAAATGAAATAAGCCAGTCACAGAAAGACAAACACTGCAAGTTTCCACTCATATGAAGTATCTAAAATATTAGTAGTCAAATTCAAAGAATCAGCAAGTGGAATGGTGGTGTCAGGGGCTAGGAGGCGTGGGAAATGGGAAGTCAGTAATCAATGGGCATGAAGTTTCAGTTAAGCAAGATGAATAAGCTCTAGAGATCTGCTGCACAACATTGTACCTAGAGTCAACAATAACGTATTACACACCTAAACATTTGTTAAGAGGGTAGTTTCCACAATGAGTGTTCTTACCCCAATAAGATAAAACTGAATCCTGGTGCTGACTGAAGAAAAAAAAAATTTAAAACAGAAAAATATAAAATTGAAAATAAAAGATGGATCAAATAAAAGAATAAATTAACAAGGACTCTCAAGTCTCCACAAATGGAGCAAAGGACATACGTAGAGTGGGATTTTGGTGTTGCAGGGCATTTTAACTTGTATGTGTGTTTACTTACTAAATATGTGTTACAGGATATGCTATTTCTCATTCATGACATTTCTATTCCAACAGTCTAACAAGAGGACTTGGTTATGCTAGTGAAGATGATAGTTCTTTTTATTTTTTTTTAATTTTTTTTTATTTCATCGTAATACGGGGAAGATGATAGTTCTTGAAACTACTTACCCAGTATTGCAATAATTTCTCCCTACAACTATGCTAACTGTAGCTACCAACTGTATAATAAACCACTTGATTTGTTATTATGTCTGTGTATATACATAAAAATTTGGGGTAAGACTTGGAAGTTGTAATTTCTAAATTCAACATCTCTCATCGTGGCTGCCCACCTACAGTAAGTCACATGCTTTCTTACTCTTGGAGCTGTGCCCACTGTGATATATGCTACATGCTGGTGCCCCTGTCACCATAGCTCTTTGATCCAGAGTGGACACTGCCCCACACTGCCCCAATCAGACTCTTTCTCCCAGAAGAATTGGGAATCTGTTTTTAAAAGACTCAGGACCTCTAGAGCTGAGTCATTTAGCATGGTCTTTACATTTCCATGGTGCCTCCTCTGCCCTAGGCCCACCTGTTCAACTCTTTCTTAGACCCTATGAGTCTTCAAGATCATTTTAATAAATTCCCTATTTTTTAAGTCACTTTCTATGACTTCTCACCAAAAGAACCTCCCTAACTAATAAAGCAGCAGTGTTACTGGAAATTATCAATATTCCTTATTGATTCCAATGTCTCAAGGACTGTGTGCCCTACTATTAAGGACATTTTACTCCATGAGTTATAGAATGCCTTATAAGATAAAAGGGAAATAATTTGATTGCATTCTTGTTAGAAGTCCAAACTTTAAGAAGAGATAACTTCATAAGAAAACTCTTTTACACATTTTTAAAGAAAATACCACACACCCTGAGGTCCCACCTTAATGCTCTACTTAGGGCCCATGCAGTGGGATCTAACACAACTCTAAAAGAAGAAAGTGGTTTGAAACAGCTACAGGATCTTCCATGCCAGTTCAGCAACCCTATATATAACATCTCTAACTTATGCTCCAGTCCTAAGTGAAAAGACTGGTCCTCAGGTTCATCAGGTTCTTCCAGCAATGGCCAGACATGTTTTGAAAGCTGACCTTTTCAGAATCCTTTCTATATTGAGAGGAGAAAAACAGTCATGTGTCGCTTAATGACTAGGATATGCTCTCAGAAATGCGTCATTAGGCGATGTCATCGTCGTGGGAACATCGTAGAATGTACTCACGCAAACCTAGATGGTGTAGCCCACTCCACCCCTAGGCTATACGGTACAGCCTCGGCTTCTGGGCTACAAATCTGTACGGCATGTTACTGTAGTGAATACTGTAGGCACTTGTAACACAGTGCTAAATATTTTTGTGTCTAAACGTATCTAAACATAGAAAGGTACAGTAAAAATATGGTATGAAAGAGTTGTAAAAGGTACACCCACATAGAGCACTTACCTTGAACGGAACTTGCAGCACTGGGAGTTGCCCTGGGTGAGTGAGTGGTGAGTGAATGTGACGGCCTAGGACGTCCCTGTGCACAACTGTAGTCTTTATAAACACTGTACACTTAGGCTACACTAAAGAGATTTTAAAATAGTTTTCTTTCTTCAATAATAAATTGCCCTTAGTTTTGCTGCACCTTTGTACTTTATGAGCGTCTTAATTTTTTTTAACTTTTTTACCCTTTTGTAATAACACTTAGTTCAAAATACGAAGACATTATACAGCTCTATGAAAATATTTTGTATTTATATCCCTATTCTAGAAGCTTTTTTCAATTTTTAAAGTTTGTTTAACTTTTTAAATTTTTTTGTTAAAAACGAAGACGCAAACACACACGTTAGCCTAGGCCCACACAGGGTCAGGATCACCGACATCACTGTCTTCCACCTCCACATCTCGTCCCACTGGAGGGTGTTCGGGGGCAGTAACACACATGGAGCTGTCATCTCCCACGATGACAGTGCCTTCTTCTGGAACACTTCCTTGAGGAGCTGCCTGAGGCTGTTTTTACAGTTAACTTTTTAAATTCAGTAAATAGAAGGAGAATGTTCTAAAATAATGATAAAACGCATAGCATAGTAAATGCATAAACTAGTAACACAGTTGTTTATCATCAGTAGCAAGTATTATGTGCTATACATAATTGTGCTGTTATACTTTTACATGATTGTCAGTGCCGCCGTTTGCTTACGCCCACATACCACAAACACGTTAGCAATGCATTGCACTGCTTTATGATGGTGATGTCACTAGGCAATAGGGATTTCTCAGCTCCATTATACTCTTCTGGGGCCACTATTGTTGATGTTCATCATTGACCAAAACATGGTTATGTAGCACATGACTATGTATTATATACATAAGAAAATTCAATTTTATAATTTAAAGCAGGCACTGAAAGTCACAATGGTGAGCCAACAAGAGATGTTTCTAAATTCTGAAAGAGGATATGTTTCTATTAATTTATTATTATACCACATATGCTGTTATTTATACTCTAATGCTATTTATGCTAATAGGCCTTTTAAGTGTCCTTGACACTGACCTTTTTGCATCATACATCAAAATCCCTCGTTAGTTGAAATAAGATGACTAACAACCAATGTTTAACTTTCCATATCTGTTATCTATTAGTACAAACACAAGATGAGAAATTCGAATCCCAGATGTTCGAGTGAATATTTTATTTTAAAAACAAACCTCCCCGAAAACCTTCCCTCTATTTCTTTTTAACAAATATGCAAATAAGAAGAGATTAAGTTTTATTAGAGGTTTCCTTTGGTAATTTCAGTTTTGATTAAAAAATGCTTCAGATGCTTAGAAAATTATCAAATTGTACTGGGCAGCAGAAAATAGTAAAAGTAACTTTAAATTCACAAATCTTGTGTGTTATCAGTGGCACCCAAATCATCCACAAACTGTTCTGCCCACAGCAAAAGACCAAAGGAAGACACCTTCACCACCAGCACCCTAACTCTTCTACAGCCTCCATGAGCCCACCTATCGGCAGTCTTCCTGACCTCTATAGCAAATGAACTTTTAACAATACTCCATAGTATTAACAGGAGAATATACTGGTAGCTGAAACTTTCATCAGAGCCTTTGTAGATAAGAGTGGGTCTCTTTCTGGTGAGAGTCGCATGAAAGGCAATTTGCCATGGACTTCCCAAAGATGAGGCTGCCTTCTTTCCACTAAAGGAGACCATTAATGTCTGAGGCTTTTGAAACATTTAACTATTCACTTAAATTTAGGGAAATTGGTGTTACCAAAAAGTTCCAGCAAATATAATTGAGTCTCCCTCAGAGAGCAGTGATACTGGCCGGCAAACCATAGTTTACATTCCATCTTCAAAGTGAGATAATGCAAGAATGCCAAAAATTCAACAGAGGCTTCTCAAGTAACAATCTTGTCCTTGAGAAAGCACTGGGATTCTGAGCTGTGGAATTTTCCACCCATTTATCCTTTCATTTTCCATCTTCTTTGCCTTCAAGTGTCAATTGACTCTCTCAGTCACAGCTGTACAAATCACAGGACTTTTTTTTTTAATTGGCATAAGACATATACATTATTCATCACTTCAGTTTCATTTGGAGGGAATCCAATAAAGAATCAATTTCATTTTCCAATAAAATATTTGAAGCTGCTTTTTCCCCTGCAAGAGACAGAGCAGAAAACTCCATGATCTATGTAAGTACAACATTTTTTTGCCTATCAGAGCATGTGTGAATTGGATTTTACTAAAATGTAGACCTGTTTGGTTTTTTTTTCTGCTATGCTTCATAGTACTGGTGTATAAGTGTGTAACAAATTCAATGTTATTATTAGTTTGTGAGGCCTTATATACCATAATACCAGGAACACTCTGTGCTTTGCCTAGCAAATATTGACTTAAAAGGACACTTTGTTGACATTTGTGCTACATCCTTGATAGAAAGCATGTACAAATTTGCAGGATTGGTTTTCCTCTAACTGTAAATACAGTGAAGCAGAAAACTAAAGTGATGATTAGACATAAAGTAATTACCTTTGCCTCTGGGTTATGGACTGAACTAGAACCCAGGTGAAGGTCATGATGATTTTCCTTTAGCAGAATCTTCTGTCGGGCGGGTGCCAAGGCTCAAAACACACACATACCCCTTCGCATTTGACAGAATCTAGTTCTGATTCACAAAAATCCTACATGAAAACAAGGTAGAAAAGATGTCAGCATTGGTATTGAGATGCATGTCAGCTGTATGTGCTTCCCACAAAGGTAAGTTAATTATATGATATGAGGATAAATCTTCCTGTCTTCCAGGAGACAGTTTGCCACCCCGCTCCGTAACAGGGTTATAGAAGGCACTTACAGAATAGCAGGGAAAAGTGTCCATCTGTCACCTAATTCCTGTGTCCTCATGTTCCACCCAACTCTCCAGGACTGAAAAATTAAGTCCTTAAATAGTAACCATCAACTTGCAAATCAAAATGCTGGGGGAAAAAAAAAAAAAAAAAAAGAAGTGGTGAGATCAATGTTCTCAGTCCAAAGATAAAAGTTACGTTATAAAAGAGTCAGGCATGGTTTATAAACAAAACAAAACAAAACTTTCTCAACATCTCGTAACCATCTCATTAACCAATACTCTCTCATCATGAGTGATCACAGTCATTCAGAGTCAGAAGCAAACTATGGAGAGAGATCAGTCTGCAGGCAAGTGGAGACAAGGCAGCATAAAGGGAGAGCTAGGTGTGTGAGGAAAATGATGAAATGGACATACTTTAGTGCTTATTTCATAAGGAAGAAAATCCATCAACTCAAGCAGGGATTTAACCCCTTCTGGTTGGAATGTCAAATACACACGTAAGCAATTCTTTCTATTTCTTTAAGCGTGAATCTACTCTTTAGGGTTCGAACTTTTCTTTTATCCCAACTCTTGGGTTTACTGCAAGGCTTGGTAAAGGTACCTTGTAAAATGCTTTCATGTATTAAAAAAGTACAAATTTCAACATCTTTAACTGCTGATTTCTGAGTCAGGGAAGTTATAATATGTGACAATTCAGCTCCAAACTACACCAAAGCACACTAGCGCATTCTCAGCTGGGCATCTCAAATGACGAATGGGGAGAATTTCTGGGGCCTGACACTTTAGCAGTGGTAAGGAGGGTGGCCCTGCACTAGCCGGCCTTGAATAGGGCCCTAAATTCAAACGCAGCACCTGCAACCCACCAGATCACCACCCGACAGCAGCCTGTGAGGTCGGGAGGCTGACCTCTTCTGCAGATGCTCCCACGCAAGACTTGACGTTTATTTGGTGACGTCACCGTCCTCTTGCCCCATCTCAGGTTGCCCTCGTGTTCATTTTAACCTGGTTTCATCTGTACAAACATGTTGGGGTAAAGAAAAGAACTGTAGGATTTTGGACCTAAATATTCCTCAGGGGAGGACTTTGTACTACCTTTGACGACAGGGTTTATTTACTAAAGCAAATGTTTTAAAAAGTAAAGTGGGAAGGAGAGGGGGGAAGAGCAGGAGCGGTTATTTAGTTCCTTTATTTTTCCCCCAAGTTAAAGTGTTTGAAAGGTTAGCACATCTTATGTTTATATATAAATAAAAATGGTAATGGTGTGTTACTTTTGTTTATCCCTAGGAATCAGACAAAGTGGGGAGGGAAGAGGTAGAAGAGAGGGTGGCAGGACAGCTCAGGTCCACAGCATTGGATAAGACATGAGAGGACAGGGTGGATCGCTAGATGTGTAGAACTAGAGCAAACCCTCAAGATCAACTGGGTTGAATCCAATTGTTTTAGAGTTGAGAAACCGAGGTTCAAAGAAAGGAGGACCTTTGCCCAAAGACAAAGAGCTGAACAACTAGACTTAATACATGAAAATGATCATTGTAAACATTTTAAATAAGAAAAACAAAAATGTAACTATTACTGATTGGCCATTTGCTAGCTGTATTACCTGGAGCAAATTACTTAACCTCTCTCTGCCTCAGTTTCATCATCTATAAAATTGGCATAATAATCATGCCTACTTCATAGGCTTGTTGGGAAAATCAAATCAGTTGATACTTGTAAAGCACCTAGAACAGAACCTGGAAACAGTAAGTATTTGATAATGTCAATTGTTTATTATCATTATTGCCAACACCACCCTTGATAATTCATGCAATCCTTTCTCAAATAAGTAGATATTGTTGATACACTAGAAAACTCAATCCGCTGGGGACTGGCATGTCAAAATGATGTGAATGTCAGCTTTTAAGGATACACTAGGGAAGATCCTAGCTTTGGCTAGAGCTAAACAAAGGAGAGAAACAGGGACAGTCTTATTTCCATGACTAAAAGTCACTCATTTTTAAAAACACCTAAGTATCAATTCTCATGTTGCATTAAAAAACTCCAAGAATAGAATCAAAAACCCAACCTTCCTTGAGTCTCAGTTTTGATTTTCAGAAACTTGACGAAGCCACTTCCTCTCACTTGATAGTTTTCATATCTGGTGTAAGTAACAATCTTCACCTGAATTGTTGTAAAGATTAAATGTACTCGAAAGCATTTCTCAGTTATAGATTTTACAGAGACTCATTCATTCTTTAAAAGCACAATGCAATATGATTATCACATATTCCTATTATCTTGAAATCACTGTAGGGGAAAAAGTCATTCTTGCCTTCTTCCTAGGATTTAGCATTGACCATGGAAATAAAACATGTTATCAGAATATTCATGGAAAATGTATCTGAAAGAAGAAACAGTGAGCTGGGAATTGGAGGTTTGGATTCTAGCCCCAGCTTTCCCATGGACACTTCATATGGCCCTGGGCAAGTCACTTAGACTTCCTGGAACCCAGTTTCCTTTCCTGTAAAACATAGGCTATAATAGATGATTTCTTTCCCTGTAATTCTATAATCCTAAATGTCATGCATATGTTTGCATGACTCCATGAGTCACTAAAATCTAGTATATTTCAGAAAATTATTTAATAAACAAAATGTCTCATAAGCAATTCAAGAGATCTTGGAACTGACTCTCAAAACATTGCATAATCGTGTTTAGGCAAAGATTTCAAACCCAGGAAGAGCATCTTGGAATTGTTTCACTCTTCTGCAATGGTGTAAGGCTATACGTTCACATACACACTCATTTGAACATCTCTCATTAATCTTTGGGGTCACTTAATAAATAGAAATGGGAATTACTTCTTTCAAAATGAAATGCAAGCATAAGGGCATGCTGTATTTCTATAATATTCTCAGCATCTCAAAATGCTGTGATAACAGTTTTAGCCTTTTTTCCCCTCATTTCTGATTTGATAAATGTAACAACTTGGTGAAATAGGCTGGGCCCAGGAATTGTTATTCCCATTTTACAAAGGAACATCCTGGGGACAAAGAAATAAAATACCCTGCTTCCCACTTGGAGATGATCCTCACACTTAGATCTCCAGACTCAAATGAAACCCGACTCAGGGTAGGAGTGACCTCCGTGGTCCCTGTGCACTTGGCCACCACGTGACCACTGCCTGGCATCGCCCTAAGCCAGGTCAGCCCCTAGCAATGCCCAGCTCAGCTCCCTGTCAAACACTAAAAGCTCTCCTCTTAGTTATAACCCCAAGTCAATGTCTGGGAACCTGTGCAGAACTGAAGTGCTGCAGCCCTTTTAAAGGACTTCCGTGAAAAAACAAAGTTCCCAGATAGAAACAGGAGCCGTTTTGATGGCTGAATCAGACCCCACTCCCTGCGCCCTGTGGTTTCTCCCCATAAATGTTTTTCCCGTAATCCAGTGGCTGCTTTGGAAGAGTTGTCCAGAGCACTTTCATCAGGGCTATTTTTTCATCCTAAGATTTTGGCCATTATCCAGTTTATATGGAAAAAAAAAAAAAGGGAGAGAAAGAATCATGTCTTAGAGAAAATAACATTTTATTTGTTTCCATGGGGATAATTAGGAAGATCTGAGAATTATACCCCACTCCATCAACTGAGTGAGGAGTGATCAACTTCAAATCGCAAATACAGGTTTCTGAAAACAAAGTGTAATTTCATGTAACTGACTTACTGGCCCCTGTGGTAGAAACAAGGCCATGATGAATTTGAAGGGAATGTCGTGGACTTGGTCTGTAGCTGGGCTCCAGCTGAGCCAGCGGGTTATGAAGGAAAGGATCACACAGATTAGCTCCACAGAAACATGCCTGTGTTTGCATAGTATGTATGTTTCCGCCCTCATGGTGGCTTCATTTCCTTTAGTCTCCAAACTGAATGGCAGAGACAGCTACTCATTGTGATCCATACGGTGGCATTGTTCCTCTTGCCAGCTCTATACAAGGAGTATTGTTGCTTTTTCCCCGGCTATTGAAAGCACAACAAACACAGGTCTGAATCTTTGACTCATTTTTCACTCAGATGGAAGATTTTGGCAGCCATATATCATTTCACTTACTTCAGGTCCACAAATATGGAGAAACTTCTATGGGAAAGCCATTGGGTTAGGTGCTCCATGGACCTAAATATGAGTGAGACACAGCCTCAGTTTCCAAAATGTTAAATCAAGTGAGTGATAGCCAGGAAGGAATTGTGAGGGATCAAGGGGGATGGCAAGTCTTTGAATTACTGTTTAGAATCAAAAGTTTTATAACAGAAGTATACCTAATAATCAAAACAACCTAGTTATAAGATAAGGGATCATATAGCTCTTGAAATTTTCTTGCATCCCACTGTTAAATTAATTTAAAAAAAAAAAGGAAAGAGAGATACTTTGAAGTTTCCAAAAAGGGATGGTTCTTAAATCAAGAAGTGGTTTCATGCAGGAAGTGGTTTTGGAAATGAGTGCTGAAGTAGATTTTTAGTAAACTGGTAATATATATATATATATATATATATATATATACACATATATAAATTCACAATTCAAAATTCCACCTTTGTATTTATCATCTTACTTCTATGACAAAAAGAGGAGGCCCCTCCAAGTTGGAAACACACCATGAACAAGGACAAGGACTGGGAATCATCAGACATTTATAGGAACTAGTCATTTTCTACGCACACAACAAAACTTTAGTGAGCATCTACTATGTTCCAGGTGGTGAAGTATAGGTGATAACAAGGGTTTGAGACACAGATGCCTGCCTTCAAGTGTAACAGTCTGGAGGAGAGGCTGACACGGTTGGCTCGGTTAGCATTGGTATTGGTTAGCATTGGTATTGGTTAGCATTGGTATTGAGATGTTAACCAATGTCAGGTGGTCTCAGGAGATAAAAGTGGGAGCCTGTGCAACCACCATGTGAAGAGAGTTCTTAAAACCAGGCAAAGAGTCAGGACTTAATTCAGTGAAAATAGAGGATTATTAAAGATTTGGGGCTGAGGAACGATACGATTTGGGTTGGGTATACAATTCAGTTAGAGCAAATACATAGGATCCATTCAGAGCAGACAAAATAATGAAGAAAGACTGATTAGAAGACAAGTGCAAAGGACCCAGGCAGGAGGTCATAAGAAATATAAGAGGAAATATGGTAGCACTGAAGAGATTTAAAGAGAATGAAAAAAGAGGGACTCAACTACAATCGACAATGTAGAATATTGACTTGTTTGAGAGGAAGAGAAAATGTGTGATACAGGCTGTGCTGAGTTTGAGAGGGCATTGGGATGCAGAGGGGAGGTGTTTAGCCAGCTCTTGGACATTCAGGTCCTGGCAAGAAAGATACAGCTTGTGACGCCATCTGCATGGAAGTGGCTGTTAGGGCCGTGCGATTGAACAAGATAGCTGAGGTAGCTGGCACAGGTATAGAAGGGGGAAGAAGAAAACATCCTGGGACACTCATCTTTACAGGGGCGAAGTAGACAGAGACACATGAAGAGGAAAGAAGAACTGAGGAAAAAGAAAGCACGGGCACCAGAGAAGGGGAATGTTTGGAGAAGGAGGGAGCAGCAGTCGGATGCTAAGGAGGAGCCGGTTAGCGTAGCCTGAGGCCAGATGAGCCACTGGATTCAGTGGCTGCCTTGGAGAAAGAAACTTCAGTGGGGCTGAAAATGGAGAGATCAGCACTGGCACTCGAAATAGCAAAGAGTAAGGGGGCAGACGGCAAGGAGGTCGACTTTCGGAGGTTTGATGGAGGGAGGTGGAATGAGGATGCAAGTGAAGAGGGGAGGATTGAAGGGGAACAGGACAAAGGCATCAGGGTTGCAGTTAAAGGTGTCTGCGTGGCAGAGCAAAGGGCTCATGCTCCTGAGAAGCAAGTTGAAAAGAAGAAAGCATGGGAGCAGGTAGTGAAAACACAAAGACTCTCTCCCTAGACCTGCTCGCCCACGCGCATGGGCACAATTACCACC